TTCAGAGCAGTGGACTGAGAACCAAAATGAAATCCCCACAAGCCGTGCCCCTTAAATGGAGACGGTCACTGGAGACCTGAATGCCCTCGGGGACCTCTAAATGAGAGAACTTATCTCGAGTCCCTGGGAGGGACTCCCCCAGGCCTGGGGCTTTTCACGGCGGCTCCCCTAAACCAATGGTCCATCAGAAACCCAGAGCCTCGGATAACTTCAAATATTGAAGGAAAATTAGTTGATTTCCTTCTTGAGACCGGAGCCACCTTTTCTGTCCTCCCTTCCACTCCGGGCCACTACCCGAACGTGGCATGACGATCAGTCTCCGGAAAACCTGTAACTAAAGCTTTCTCTCAGCCCCTGGAATGTCTATGGGAACCCCTTTTTTCTCCTTCTTTCCTGATGATGCCAGAGAACCTTACTCCCTTGCTAGAAAGGGACAGTATAACTTAATTAGAGACTAGGGTGCGACTAAATCCAGGGCTAAATCACAATTATGTGAGTTTTTGGAAATTACTAGATGCTATAGGCTGTAGATAGCGGGGTTCAGGAAAACAGTGTGCTATGTCGATTGTTAACGGAGACTCGAGGCGCCTGAGTGGCGCAGTCGGTTGAGCGTCCGACTTCAGCCAGGTCACGATCTCGCGGTCCGTGAGTTCGAGCCCCGTGTCAGGCTCTGTGCTGACCACTCAGAGCCTGGAGCCTGTTTCCGATTCTGTGTCTCCCTCTCTCTCTGCCCCTCCCCCGTTCATGCTCTGTCTCTCTCTGTCACAAAAAAAAAAAAAAAAAAAAAAACGTTGAAAAAAAAATTTTTTTTTTAAAATAAAGGAGACTCAATCCCACCTACTCTGCCCCACAAAACATAAACTGGGGCCTCGCTCCTAGACACAGTCTCCAGCCCTTGGAATGGTTACACACAGAGCAGGGCAATTGCTGTCACCAAGCTCACAGAGCTAAAAGATGATGAAAACGCAGCCTCAGGCCTTTCATTTAGGGACAAAACTTAGCAAATGGCCCAAAGAATGTTTACTGGAAAAAAAATTCGTCGGGGACAGTTGTGCAAGAAGTATCAGCCCGTGAAGTAGGTCTTAGAAACGTCCAACCACAAACTTGCTCTCCTGGGCAATCAAGGACCTGGAGGCTATCCAGGAAAAACTAACAATTAGGTTTCATTCATATGCCAAGGTCAAAGGAATCCCAACACCAGTTGGTATGGACTCTTTTACTAGTTGGGTAGAGGCCTTCCTCTACAAGACAGAAAAGGCTCAAAAAGTAATAAAAGTTCTGCTGTCTAGAATAATACCCAGGCTTGGCTTACCTAAACATTTACAGATTAATAATGGCGCGTGGCTACTTTGACTCTTTCTCCAGTAGAACTCCTGGCCCTTGGAAAAGTTTCACACCTCAAAATGAAGCAGACTGTCTGCCTGCACTCAGCAAAACTCTAAATAACACCTCACAAGCATTAAATGCTTCAAAAAAATTTTTGTTTTTAAATTACGTTAGGGCCAAACTCTTGGAAACAGAGCCACTGTCACGTGGGTTATGAGAGATCCCCTGACATGTGTTGTTGACAAAGTCAGGGTCTCTCCTAGATTGTCTGACAGGTTTGAACACTGTAGACGTGATCTTACGATGCCATGTCGTTGCTCAGTAGAATCTTTGCGTTTTTCTGTGTGCGTCTGCTGATGTTTATGCCGCCTCCTGCCCGCCAGCCTTCCTGTGGAACCATGCTGTGGGTCACTCGACCGACCCGTGGGTTGACTCTAACTGCTGTCCCCCAACACTGTCCCTTATCAGCTTGAAGAAGCCAGAGCGATCATTGTCCCTGTTCCCTAACAGCAGACACAGACCCTGCTCCAGGGGAGGAATAAACAAGGTAAGGGTGAACATTAGGCAGGGAGAGATCAGGGACCTTCAGGGAGGCAGACTGCAGCCGCAGGTGGGAGGCCGACGGAGCAGGCGGGGTTCTCCCCTTATGAAATCCTTTAGGCCCCCTCCCCCCATTATCAAGGGCATGGGGGGGCGGGTTCTGAATGAGACAGACCATCTTCACCGTAAGACAACAGATCCGCGGGCCCTTGCCTCTACCCTAACCACCTTACACCACTGGGTCAGGGAGCGATTACCTGTGAGTCTGACCACAGACGCTCACCCCTTTAACCAGGAGATGCTGTGTGGGTGAAGGAGGAAAATGTCCGACCCCTACAACCCCTCTGGAGGGGCCCGTTCACTGTCATTTTGTCCACCCCTGCGCAGGGAAGTAGCCGAAGCGGGTCCCTGCGTTCGCGACGGCAGAGTGAAGCCGGCCTCGCGAAACTGGGAGTGCCTTCCTGATCCATCCACGCCGTGCAAGCCGACCACACGGAAGGTTCTGCCACTCCAGAGGCTCTGGGAGACCGCAGCCCTGCCCCAGTCACTCCGGAAGCTGACACGGCAGAAGCCCGAGGAACCCACGGTCCCATGAAACAAAAGACTGTCCTTATTTTCTCCATGTTTCCTTGCTGTGAGGCACTGTCACGCCTTCTCGGTATTATTGTGATTGCTGCCCTACCCTTGGCCACAGGATTGGCCGAGGCTGCCCTGGCCGGCTAGAAATGGGGGAGGGGGAGGTTTTCGTTAGCACTCAGCTAGGATACTTCGTGGGTACCAACGTGGGGAAAAGACGGCCATTGATCCCCACAAACCTCATAGTAAAACAAAATACCCCAGTCCCACACCCGGGGTTTGGCCTCTCAAAAGCTCAAGTATTGGGAAAAACTGTCCTGCCCAATGCGGAAAAAGGTCATCGTCGTCTGTTAAACACTTAACATGCCTAGGCCAAAGATTTTGTAACTCAACTGGTGGGGGACCCCAGATCCCCACCCTTTGTGTAACTTCTCTCATCTACGAGAGGCCTGGGACAGTGTCAGTGCAGCCGTCAAAGGGCAGGCTCCAGGTGAACTACACTAGGCATGTGGGGGGACAGCCTATATAAACCTCTAAACCAAGACGATGCTCTTTGACCCCAAATAGAGGGGTCTGAGAATCAAAAGGGGGAATATGGTAGGGTCCCCTCCCTGAGGAAACAAAAAAAGGAACCTCAAGGCAACCTGGTTATGCACAAAGGTGACAACATCTTTCACGACCTTGAAACATGAGACTGCTTAATCAGACTGCGTGTTGGTGCGTTACCATATACGGGAGGCAAAGAAATACACAATATATAAGAAGCTACACAGCGTGGCATCGGGGCTCAGTTCCTTGGGTACGAACCCAACTGGGCGGTGCCGACAGGAGTAAAGTCGCTTCCTGGAAAGAAAAGCCTCAGTGCCGCGACTCTTCGAGAAACCTGCTACAGTACCGCGTGTGGACAACAGCTTCGCAGTTTCTTAAAGGGACACTTACGTGTGACGCAGGAATGTCCCCAAGAGGAATGACGCCGAGGGTCCACAGTCGTGTCCGGGCGACGCCGTGGCCGCACTGACCATCTTGGCTTACACCTGGGATCCGCTCGAATGTCCGTGAAGTGGCCAGCGGATGAATGAAGCCTGGTTTACGCTAAAAAAACAACAAAAAGGAACAAACTAGGGATTCATGGCACAGAATGGGGGCACCTGGGCAGTGGGAGGCTGGACTGACCGCGTGGACACGAAGTGTCCAGAAAAGACAGGGAGAGCGTTTCTGCATGCTTCTTAGGGCGCGTGTGCGTTGGAAACGTCCTGCTCCCGCAGGGTGCGGGGTTATACGAGCCTGTACGTTCACTGCAAATCACAGCTACACAGCTGTAACCCGGGAGCTCGCAGGGGTGCGGGGTGGGGGCTGAGGGGGGGGGGGAAGGACACCTGTAAAAGCTCCGAGGCAGGCGGTCCGCTCCGGCTGCAGCCCGAGGAGCCCCAGGCCTGCGGGCGAGCCGCGGGCGTCGGCTCCGGGTCTGGGCCCCAGCTGCCCCGCGCAGGCACGGGACTGGGGTGCGGTGCGGGCTGGAGCTGCCCGGCTGGGTCGCCGCCCCACCAAAGCCACCCCCACGCCTGCGGGCAGGCCCTGCTGGGGGCTCCGAGCCCCGAGACGGCAAACCCCCCAGCGCCTGCATGGCGGGCGGCGCGGACCGCCACCCTCCAACCGCACCGCGAACTCGGGGTCCGGCCCCCAGCCCCGCCCCCGAGGCCACCTGCCTGCCACCGGGGTCGGGAGCCCCAGGCGCCCAGCGGGGAGCGAGCGGCAGGCGGAGGCGGGCCTGCGGGCGCGCGTGTGTCTGCGTGTCTGTGACTCCGGCCGCAGGCTCCGTCCCCGCCCCCGCCCGAGCCGGCCCCGCGGTGGGCGGCCTGGGAGGTTCCCGGCGCCCCGCCCCCTCCCGTGTCCCGGGACCGAGGTCACGCCCGGGTCAGGCCTCTAGAGCGCTCCAGGCGGCCTTTCCTGGAACGTCCCCCGTGGGGGAGTCCAGGCCTGAGCCTGCCGTGCCCTCCGCGCCCCGCCCCGTGCCCACCGGCCGGCGCGAACACACGGGAGCAGCGGGGCTGGCCAGGTGCCGGGCGCTGTGCCTCCACTCAACTCACCTGCTCCACGTGCCCTGCGAACCGCTGCGGGAGGCGTCAGAGGACTGCGGGGCCCCCCCTGCACCAGCTGGGGCCTCCCCTTGCACCGGCCTGCGGCACCCCCTCCCCCACCCCCGCCCCGGCCTGCGCCCCTTTCCCCCCCCCCCCCCGCACCGGCCTGGGGCGCCCCGGCCCCCTGCACCGGCCTTCGGTCCCCTATGCACCAGCCTGCAGCATGGCTGGCACCTGACCGCCGTGATCACCGGCTGTGCCACCCTGCTGGTGTGAATTGCACCCCAGGTGTATCCTGTTTTAAGGTCGTGAGAGGGTGTGACTGTAGATGTGCCGGAGTTAATAGAATCTGTTGGGAGAGGTCAGGGGAGAGGACGTGACCCCAGCTGACCTCAGGCCCCCTCTGCTCTCCGTTCCCTTGGTTGGGAGCTCATCTCCAGGCCGAGGCCCTGAGAGGGGCATGTGGCACTGAGACCTTGTGGACACTGCAGTGCCCCACCCCCCACCCTGGGCTGAGGCGTCTCCGTGAACCCCAGGATGCTGGCTGCCGGGCCAAAATCTGCTCCGTCTGTCCAAGACAAAGCCTGGATAGGAGCGCCCCCGCGTGTCGAACCTACCACCTGCACCTCTGGGGCGCTCTGCCTGCTTCGTCGCCTCTCCCTGCTCCCCCTGCCTGTCTGGGGAGCTCCCGAGGGCTCAAACTAACACATTTTGCTTTGTCACCTAAACTATATATAAAAAGTATAAACGGAGGGGCTACGTTACTGAATGTGTACATCGAGATTGCAGTTTGGAAGGACACTCACTGTGGAAGGGGCCTCAGAAGAGGGAGGTAACGTAGGGGAACCTAGTTCTGTGACCTGCTCTCTCTCCAGGACTGAGTTTTCTTCCCTTTTTGGAACTGTGGTTTTTGACATCACTTTCCAACATGGTTAGAATTTAAGAGTTACGGATTAAGGAAATCCCACTGAAGAAAAATTCTGAAAGGGGATGAAGAGATACAAAGGATAAACAGCTCAGAGCACGGGGGCGGGAGGACCCCCCTCCCCCATTACTCAAGGAGATTCTATCTGGTGGACATAACCACCAAAGCCACTGACTCTGAAATGTAACCCAAGTTCCCCGAATCAGCGTTTGCCATCACCAGCAAGGACCCGGATGGGCTCCTGCATAAGACACCAGGCACCGAGCCTTGTAATCGCAACGAAGACGCCCAACATCGTTAAGTCACATTATTATACACAATAACGGCCACAGGTAAGAGTGATTTTCTTAGTAGAACAATTTATTAATGGATATGCAATAAAATATCTCCCCCCAAAATCTTTCCAGAAATGACGAGACAGAAAGTCAGTTTGGTTTTGGTTCTCTGGCAGTTTTTTTCTTTATGTAAACATAAAATATTTGAAGGAATGATAAAAGTAACAAGGGAACCCGTAAGTATAGCTTTTGTAATCTGATCTCAAACGGGTGCTTGGGGTCCATGCGTACAGCAGCGCTACCCGATGACTGACTTCGATGTTCTCCTAAACAGAAATCAAAAGGCTTTTCCTGGACTCCAACTACAGAAGCACGAGTTTGGTAAATCTCGGAAGAATGACCTGAACAAGGACAGTCGGAACCGTTGCCGGAGGCGAGGTTAACGAGCCAGAGCTGGAGAACGTGCCCAGCCGCACACAGGCCGCCGCCAGCACAGAGCGCTGCTCTGCACGCGGACGCGATGACACAAACGAGCGCACAAGAGTTGTGCTAATGCAGGCATGATCGCGAAATATTTAAATGTCCCTCAAGGCGCGTCTCCGACTTGTGCACACATAGCGAGCGGACCCCGTTGACGGGCCATGTAAAGACTTTTTAAAAACACGCGTTGCAGCCAGAGCGCTCCTCTCCTGACTCTGAGCACTCAGCGGTGATCAGCACACAAATGAAGTGCGTCCATTCCGATCCGAGTCTAAGCTAAGCCATTGCGTGCATAAATCAGGAACGAGTGGAAGTCCTAATCGTATCACATAAAGAGCACAGTTTCCAGACTGCTCGACTCATTCACGCTCACCGTGTGGAAGCAAGCGTGGCTCTATCAGTTTCCAAGCCAATGTCAGGACGCAGGCACGTGCTTACACGGTCGATCGCATACTCAAGTAATGAGAGCTTGGCGACATTTTGAACATCCTTGACACGTTCACCCACAGTCCTGACCAGCTGCCGTCTCACAGAGGTCCGCTCCCTAGTAAGAGCCCACGCGTGATACACGTCAAAAAATAAACCGTATTATACTGAGAAACATCACCGCGCGATACAGATGTTTAATTATCACGGATTCCTGTGAACTTTGGGAATCTACTTTTGCAGCTCAGCAGAACAGTAAGCACTTACCAAGAGCATTTATAAGTAATCTGTACAGCAGTTTACATTTAGAGGAATTAATGTCTGGGAGTAAGTTCCTGGAGTTTAGAAAGTACTCAATCTCGGTCTTCTCACCGTCTTAAGTTCAGACCTTATTGACGTAGACAGGGACACACAAACCTTATTTCTAACGAACAAAGAAGAGGCGGTGGTCTCTCACGGGCAGTAACTAATTTATTATCTCGGGCAGCGGAACAGGTAGGAGTGGGCCCAGTGCAATAATGGACTTTCCCGGAGGCCGTCAGGTGCATTTTAACCTTGTGAATCAGCATTAACAGAAGGCACTTGAAAGGCTTTTCGGGGGCTTTGCCGCCGATGTGTGCTATGCCAACGGCAAACTTGGTAAACAACTGTGCAAAGAAGGCTCTAGTCATATCATGACGCTTCCTATTTACTTCAAAAGGCAATATTCGATATATAAAAACGGAGTAAATTAAGATGTTAATATATTAAACAATTTATAAACATTTAAAATTATCGATATCTTACAAAACAGTTCTGTGACGATACAAATTTTTGTTACGAACAAAACACGAATGAAACGGAGTACAAAAACGACTCTTAGTTAGCGTGTTAGCTGGGGGGCGGGGAGGGAGGAAGGCTCAGACCTGGATCTCATAGCTTCATGACATAAAATATTCCTAATTAAACTTCACATGTACTTTTAACACTGAAATACAAAAAAAAAAAAAAAAAATTTTTCAATCATTCCTTATTTTAAGGCCACTGAAACAAGTTTCACATTGTTAGTTTTCGGTGATGTGCTCTTCAGAGTCCAAGGACGTCTGGGTTAGCTCGTCACACCCATCCCGCTCACGGACTTTCACTAGACGGTGCATCCTGTGGCGCCTCCCCCTGGCCCTCAGCAACGAGACTGGCGCCCAGCACCACACGTCACGGTGTCTGGGGCTCAGTCACGGGACGGGAGGGCGCGGGCTCACCGCTCGCTGCGCCTGTGGTCTGACTCCAAGGACAGTGGCTCTCGGGATACGGTCGCTACGACAAGGTTGTTGCTAGGACAACTCCAAGGATCACAAGCAAAACAATTACACAAATGATAATGCACATCATTTTCTGCAAGATAAAGAAAAAAAACATTAATTAATTCACATAATTTGCCAGGTATCAAAGGAAAGAAATCGCTAATGTCATTTCTTCACAGAATTCTCCTGGAATTTGAGTTTAAAATGCCCAGGCCCCAGGTCACAGGACAGGGAGGGGCGGGGAAGCCAAGTTCCAGAGGCAAAGCACCGGGTGCACATACCGAGTTAATGGAACTTAATAAATCACAGCAGGTGTTGCTGGACAACAACTGTGGGCCCCTGGGGGGAAGGCAGCGTCTACCTGGCACCACGTGGGGTCCTCAGCGGACACTTTCTACCGATCACACGAACATTACGAGCCGCTATTCCTCGGACGCGCCGCACGTCTTTTTAGAACTTTAAACGAATCTACTTCCCGTTTGCCGAAGACGGTGTCGCTTACACGCGTCTTTGCGCTGAGGCCCGATGCGCGGACGCACGAAGGCAGCAAGCTCACTCAGCCCTCCGCTGCGCCTGTGGCCCAAAGCGGGCGGCACGGCACTTCTGTGGTTCCTCTGTCACGAACACGTGTCCTGCACACCTAGAAGCTACGCTACCTTCGGCTTGAGAGCCAGTCTCCTCCGGGGGACCGTCCGCGGGAGAAGGGAAGGCAGGCACAGAGATGACAGGCGGGCCGTCTGGGCGACCCTGCCTGAGCGCACGGCTCCAAGCTGGCGCACCAGCACCTCCATCAGCCACCGCGCGCTCTGACGGTCTGCGTGGCAGGCCCCTCGGGAAACTTCCGCTCGGTTACCCAGGGACCGGGGAGCTGCCGTCGGGACACCCCCTCTCCGTTAGACCCGCACACGCGCCCGGCGTGAGGACCGCGGCCCGGCCGCATGCCGCCCGCCACGCGCTCCCACGGACCGTGCTCGGCACCTTGATCTGAGACAGCCTCTTCCTCGGGCTTCCCAGCAGCGGCCACCCCTCAGCTCCGGAGCCTGCTCACCGCACCCGGGTCCCCCGGGGAAATGCCACCCTGGACGCGAGTTCTGACTTCCGGGGCCCGGGGTGCTGGCCCTGAGGGCGTCTGGGCCCCCCTCGCGGGTGCACGTCCTCCCCACCGGCCCCCGGTGCCGCTCCCCTGAAGCCCACACCGACTGAGCTCCTGCACCCAGATCTCCAGCTTTAACAACAATTCTGTCCAGCACCCTGCTGCCAGCTGCACCCACACGCGTGCCCCTCTCCTCAGCGGGCGGGGCGCCCTGGGGCGCAGTCCTGTCCGAGTGCAGGTCACGGGGCCACCACCTCCACCTCGTACACACAAACGCAGCAGGGTGCGGGCCCTGCCTGCCTCCTCGGGCGGGAACGGAGCGCCCCCGCCCACGCCGCAGGGCGGTGGGCATTCGGTTACCCACCAAGTGCCTCCGGCGCAGGGCCTGGCCCACCGGGAGGCCCCCCTGCACCACCTGCTGAAGAATAAATTACATTTTCTAACGTGTAATCACGGACAGCAACCACTCGTGTATAAAAGAAATAACTGTTGGTGTAAGCTTTGGCGCGTCTTACCGAGGATTGTTTTGCGTTCGTATTTAAAGACACTAGGGTAGGGGCGCCTGGGTGGCGCAGTCGGTTAAGCGTCCGACTTCAGCCAGGTCACGATCTCGCGGTCCATGAGTTCGAGCCCCGCGTCGGGCTCTGGGCTGATGGCTCAGAGCCTGGAGCCTGTTTCCGATTCTGTGTCTCCCTCTCTCTCTGCCCCTCCCCCGTTCATGTTCTGTCTCTCTCTGTCCCCAAAATAAATAAACGTTGAAAAAAAAAATTAAAAAAAAAAAAATCTATAAAAAAAGACACTAGGGTAAAAACCAGCCATCCGGCCCCAGGGCCCAAAAGCCCACTGCTCCCTGAGGGGTCACCCTGAAAAGGGGTGCCCGGGGGGACTCACTCGGCTGAACGACTGACTCTTGATTTCGGCTCAGGTCATGATCCCACAGTTTTGCAGACGTGAGCCCTGCGTCAGGCTCTGTGCTGACAGCATGAAGCCTGCTTGAGATTCTCTCTCTCCCGGCCTCTCTCTCTGCACCTCCCGGGCTCTTGCTCTGTCTCTCTCGAGATAAATAAATAAACTTTAAAACCTGTGTCCATTTAACAGCATTACCTAACAACATCGCTGGGTCCAACCTAAGAACGAATTTTAATCTTTAGTGTAACCAACATGTTATGACCACTAGGAAAAATTAAGAAACCACGTATTTTTAAAATTATATAAAAATAGCTCTTAAGTGCTATTACCCTGACAAAGAAAATCATACACATCATTTTTCCCAGCACCAGGAAAGCCACACAAACGGGCTGTCCCAGGCCGAAAAGCAGTGGCGGGACCTGGCCGCACGTGGGGTCCCTGTCTCCCGTGCTATCTCCCTTTGCAAAAATAAAGGGCCGGCCTGGTGCCGCAGTCGCTTTCGAAAGGAGACAACGAATTCCTCAAGGACTGCCTGTCACCGTCCTGGCACCTGGCACTGCAAAACGACAGTCGAATGACCACGGCAAGACACCCTTCTCAAGGGACACGCATGGGACAGCGTTCCTCGGTCACGCGAGGAGGGCGCTCCCGTATGAGGAGAAAACCAGAGGAAAACACAAATGTACCGGAGTCTGGAGAAAGGGGACAGTCACACAGTGAACAAAATAAAGTCGCTTTCGTCAACGACGGAGACCTTCTCTCCCCAGAACGTTGTAAACTGACCGGCAGGCTGACAGCACAGGCTCGCACGACACTCAGGAGGTACCGGAAA